AAATTTGTTAATTATCAAATTCTTTTGTGCTAATTGCATTAAAATATTGCTTATTCGATTTATTTCTTACTTTAAGGTTGAAGAAAATTAAATATAATAAATCATTGCAATATACATTATTATATAATTTTATAAAAAGACATATATAAAAAGTACTTACTAATAGTGAATAAATTGATTAAATAAAAAAAGAAGAAAGATTGTAAAATTGAAGGACCAAAGCAAGAATTAACTATTAAAGGTAACAGAATTTAATAAGGTATGTCTGGTCAAACAATTTCATAAATAAATTTTGTCGTTATATATGAATTTTAAGAAAATAAGATAGTAAGGTTGCTGTAATAAATAAAAGACACTAAATTAGTCAAATAATTGTTTTAATAATTAAAAAATAAGGTTATGATTATGAAATAATCAATTGAATAAAAAAAGTACTGATTAAATAAAAAAATAGTAATGAAAATATCACTATATTCAATTCATCAATATTTGAATACAGAGTTAAATATTTAAAGTTTATCGATCATTTATTGTTTGATAACAATTATTCATACATTAATTAATATTATTCTTTGTCAATACAGATGAGACTTTAGTTTAATATTATGTAATTATTTATATTCAATTTCTTTATTCTTTCTTATTTTTTAAACTTTCATTTCATTCAAAATTGTTATTAAACTACCACAAATTTAATTATACTTCATTCATTATTTATCTCATTATTTTATTATATATTCTTCCTTTTCATATTTTCTTCGGTATATTGTACTTTTCGTATTTTAATCATTTAATCATTTAATTCTTTTTTTATTATATTCTGAAATATTCCTATTAACTCCTCTTTACTATAAATTTATTAGTTCAATACCATCACTGCCTCTTATTATATTCAATCATTGTTATTGTTTCAATTCTTTTATTATATCAATTTATTTTATATCTTTCTCTGTCATAAATTTACATTTTTTATTTCATAATTGATATTCATTTATTCTTATACTATTTTATTTTCATTTTATTGTTACACCGTACCTACATTTTTTTAAATTATCTTGTAAGGTTTATAACTTCTACTACACAACAAATTTATGGAAGTTAAGAAGGTTTCTCAGTTGAATAACTTTTTCTAAAATTATTTGTATATAACAATTTGATTTTACAAATATTATATTTGATATAATAAATTTTTTATCCAATGAAAAATAAATTTATTCATTGAGACATTCAAAATTTTTTCTTCTTCTTCAATAAGAAAATAAACCATAATTTGATCCATAACTAAAAGCCATTAGTTTTAATTGAGGAACTATTTGTCTATAAAAAACCAGCAAAAGAATTTAATACTAACATTGATGAATAACATTAAACAATTACAGTTACTAAGAAACTTACCAAATATATGTATGGTTTAAATATAACCAAAAAGGTATGTCTGATATTTGATGATAGATTTCTATATTCATAGATAATGAATGAGTAAGTTGATTGTTTAAAAAATACAATAACACAGTTCTAATTTCTTCTAAATATTCTATGTTTCATAATTACTAGGAACTATAAAATACAAAAACTGGAAAATAACACAATTTATAAAAAAGAGAAGAAATGTTATATTTCCTATTTCTTTTAACAGTATTTGCTGAACAGTGTGTTAATGGTAATTGTAAAAAAGAAGAAGAGAATCTATATCCAATAAATGGAGTAACAGTAGAGATTGCTGATTGTTTAAGAACATCATTAGATTTAACTGAAAGTTTTACAAATTTGATAAGTGAATGTCCACAATCTCCAAAAAAGATGTTTCCATTGAATATAACACAGTCTAACATTAGACAAATTTTAGCTTCTAATTCATATTTTATTTTTGATTCAAATGAAACAACTATTGGTAAAATGGATATTAAAGGTGATATTGCTATGGTTATTAAAAATGCTAAAATTAATGTTATTGATGCTATTGAAGGAGAAACAAATTTAACAATTCCAAAATGTAAAGAAGCTTGTACTCTTCAAGTTGATCAAAGTTCTTTTAATTCTTTAAATGATTTTTATATTGGAAATAAAGTAACTATTAATTCAAAATCTATGGAATTAAATTGTTCTAAAGAATATCAATCATCTATTCATATTGGAGCTCATTCTCATATCAAAAGTGATAAAATGAATATATCTGGTTTTACTATTATTTTTACTGAAGGTCATAAAAAAGTTAATATGTCTGGTCCATTAATTGTTGCTGATGAATTCAGTACAAACAGACCTCTTTCTATCCAAGTTATTGATCATCTTCATCCACAACAATGTATTATTGCTATTAAATCACCTTCATTGAAAAAATATCCAAAAACTATGCAATTTAAGATTGATACTTCATATTTAAATTTTGTTGTTCTCCCAGTAAAAACAGGAAATATTACTGAAGTTTTCTCTCCAGAAAAGAAAGTATTAATATTTACTGAAGAAAATATTAATAAAATGGAAATTCCTAAAGGATATGAAAAGAAAACTTATGAAGGAAGGTATGTTGTTCTTCCTTTACAAAGTGGAATAGAAATCTTCCCAATAGAAGATCTTGATCAAGACTTCATTATTAATAGAACAATTCTTCGTTCTGAAGAACCAAATCAAGAAGTAAGCAGCATGTATTTAATGAGAATTAACGATCAAAATCAAGTAAAATTAGATTTTAAAAATCCTAAGAAATATCTTATTGAAGGTAAAGAACATGGAAAAAAACATAAAACTACAGTTTATCAAGTTAATTATTCTCTAAATGAACTTAATGTTAGTGATAATAATCTTATTTATCTTCAAGAATTCAAAAAGAAAAATGATATTGTTTTCCCAATAGAAGGTGGAGAAATAATGGCTATTCCAAACCACTACTTCAGAAAAGGAAATAAATATCCTCTTAAGAATTATGAAGCTTGGAGAATGGATGGTGAGGAATATTTTGTTTTTAACAAATTTACTATCCTCAATATGTTCTCTTTCTTCACTGATGTCGATTATAAGTTAACTCGTGTTGATGACCAATTATTAATTTGTCATCCTCAAATTATTCCAAAAGAAATAAATGTTACTCAAGTTAACCAAACTCAAATTAATGAACAA